AGCTCAATTTTTTAAGCAATTCATTTTGCTTTTCAAGAGGCTCTTAAAAAACAGCCAATAAGTCAAGAAGCCCTAAATTAGCTAGGAAGGCACTTTAGCAAATCAAGGCTTTGATTATTCTGTGGTTTGCCCTAGACTCAGAAGAAGGTGTGAAATCTACAACAAATGTTACTGGGCTAGCGGCTCCCATGGCTGCAACTCCACCTCATGAGCTGGAGTGTGTGTGCTCTAATGGAAAACAGAACCATAGACTCACAGAATGGTTTGGGTTGAAAGGGACCTTTAAAAGTTCTCTGGTCCAACCCCCCCGAAGTGAGCAGGGACATCTTCAACTAGATCAGGTTGCTCAGAGCCCCATCCAACCTGACCTTGAATGTTTCCAGGGATGAGGCATCTACCACCTCTCTGGGCAAACTGTGACAGTGTTTCACCATCCACATTGTAAAAAAAATTCTTCCTTATATCTAATCTAAATGTACCCTCTTTTAATTACCTCTTGTCCTATTGCTACAGACCCTGCTAAAAAGTCTGCCCCCATCTTTCTTATAGGCCTTTTTTAAGTACTGAAAGGCCACAATAGGGTCTCAGAGGAGCCTTCTCTTCAGGCTGAACAACCCCAACTCTCTCAGCCTTTCTTCTTTGTTGAGCTGTTCCATCCCTCTGATTATCTTTATGGCCTTCCTCTGGACCTGCTCCAACAAGTCCATGTCTTTCCTATGGTCAAATCCATGTCTTTCCTATGCTGAGGACTCCAGAGCTGGATATAGTTCTCCAGGTGAGGTCTCACCAGAGTGGAGTAAAGCATCACCCCCCTTGAGACCTCCAGAATACCCATGTTATCTTGGTGCTGTGATACTGCCCTCAGGAGAAGTCAGGAATCCAGGCATATCTTGTACACAAAAGGAGGCAATACCAGAAAAGATGTCCCAGGCTTCCTGACCTACAGCACTGAACTGAAGCAGGGGCAGAAGCTGTATGTGAAGGAGCAATTAGGGAGTGATGAGGATACTGGGAACATGCTGCCCCTTCACCATGTAGCTGTGCTACAACCTTGTGGGTGACCTTGGAACATGACTAAGATAAAAGAGTCTTGGGAAGGAGACTGGCTGGAGAGAATGATCCAGGACAAACCCATAAAAAATCTCACAGCTGTCAGAAACCCCTCTGGCATTTCCCAGCCTCCTATTCCTGCAACACCACTGACACTGGCTGGTCTCCTCTCTTGCTGTCACCCGTTCCTATACCTCTCCCCTCAGCCTCCTCCTCTACTCTCTTGGATTGTATCTGCCTCTCCCAAAGCTTCAATTTCACTTGAATCCCCCTATAAGCTCTCACAGCCTCCTGACCTACAGATACCACAGAAGAGCTAGAAAACTCCTCCATGCTCAGAACAGCCCTGGTCCAGCTGGATTTTGTCTCTCTTTTAGAGTTGCCTAAGAGTGTATCAACAAAGTCAAGCTCACCCTTGATCTAAGAAGGGCATCATTGCAAATCAAAGCGAGATTTTATATTTTTGTCCCTAAGTTCTTAATTTCCTTCATGAACCCGGCATGAGTACAGGCTTCCTGGACCTCTCCTCTGCATTGCAGCTCTTCACATGAACCATGGTAAGGTTGGACTTTTACACATGCTGCTGACTTGGTACCCTGCACTAGCTAGTAAGACGTAAACTGAGTTTCAAGTGCATGCTAGCTTATCTCCTCCCTTACCAGAACAAAGCTCATAAGAAGGAAATGTGAGGCCTCCCTGAGGGTGCTGGGAAGACACGGTTGATAATAGGAAATTTTTGGAAGGAGATTTGAGAAGTGGATTTTACTCACTCCCTATATTGATAAAGGCTTATCATATTCCTTTGCAAAACCAGAAACCACATGGCGAGACACCGTTTTTAAATGTTAATGCATCTTTAGAGAATAATCAGTACCGTTTGATGGCTTGTGCTAGCTCTAGGAGAGGCTTCTTTGTTGTTTAAGAAATGAAACAGCATTCATCTGGAGTTTCTTGTCATTACTGGATGAAAGAAAGGTTATTTCTTTAGTGAAAAAAAAAAAAAAGAGAGAAGATCTGAATGATAAACATTATAAAATACTTATCTTCCCAGATGTCTCTGTGATAATGCCACCTAAAAGGAAATGCTTATCTCACTGAAGGACAGCTTTTGGCAACATGGCTTTTTATACAGTGCTAAATTATTTTAAGAGCACAGGACAAAGGTAGACAGATCTGTTCAAAGGAGCAAAATACAAACCAGATATAGTGCCCCTTCAAGTCCTGCTGCCGAATCACTTTGTAACCTTGAGTAAGCCACACAGCCCTTTCTTCGTCAGCTCCTGCATCGGGACAGTAACTGGTGTAAAAACCAACATGGAAATTGTTTTTGTGACCACCTACAAGTTACACTGTATGACTGCCAGATATTGTGTGTTTATATATTTTTAAATGCAACTTCTTGTATCTACTGCTATCTAAAGAAGCTGTTATTACCTGGCAGATTTATGTGCTTTTTGAAGCAATCCATGTGCCAAGTACGGTTCACCTCCAGGACGGGGTTCAGCTGCATATTGATAGGCAGCTCTGTCCGTCAGCTGCCCAAAGTACCCGCTTCCTCAGGCATGAAAGAGCAGAATCCATCCCGGGTAGTCTTTGGTTGTTCTGGAGAATGGACCATGTTTTAAAAATAATTACAGATTTTGGTGCTTCCACTTCTCATGACAAGTGCCCCAGGAATCCTGCCTTCTGGGAAACATGAGGGCCTTTAACCAAATATAAAGCCTTTTTAGATATCTCTTGATACACACTTAAAGTGGGAGGCCAAAATCACTATTCTTTTATGATATTTATAGGTACTTCCTTTTTGATTTTGAATTTTGTTTTTAAGATGATGCTCTTTCCTCATCAGGAATTTGTCAATTTGCTGTTTGCCTTTTAAACGTTTACTTGCTTTCTTCATTTTATATATCCTGCTGACAGAATGTAGAAATCATGTCAAGTAAGGAAGTGTATTTCCATCCTGAATAGGTGCGTTCTGCTCTCTCACCCCAGCAAGCTGCTCCTTCACACACAACAAAAAGATTCCCATCTGAGGAGAATAATACGTAATCGTTAATAAATAACTTGTATAAGTAAGAACCAGGAGTGAAACTACCATCTGATGGATTTGCCTGTGAGGAAGTTAGGTTGTTGTGTGACCTTGGATGATTAATTTTACATTGTTGTGTCTATACTTTCTCCTCCATCCATTCTTCTGTCTTGCCTGCTTCACATTCAAGGTAGTCGGGGCAAGGACTATTTCTCATTATATGTACGTTCGGCAGCCAGCACTCTGGGTGTTACAGCACTGTAAAATGCATGGATGACAAGCAATACCCAGGGGCAGAGAGAAGAGTGCACGTTGCGCATTGTGCATTAGACCATGGAGTGAGAGATGTGTGATAACAAGCTACAGATCTCTCAAGTCCCTTGTCCCTTGTTGGGGACATTCCCTGTGGCTAGGCAGGGGCAAAGCTGGTGCAGTGGGTACGCAACAAGATTATACCTCTGTGATGATGCGGTAGTGACAAGGACATGCATGCTTGGGGGAGTGATGAGACAAGAGTATTGGGTTATGTGGTGGAGACAGGATGTCTTTTCATGGACAAAAAGCTCTGCAGGTTTCTCAGTGGCATACACCCTGGCTCAAGACCTGATTTGTTTGCCTCACTTGCAGGATCACCTCTAGAAGAGAAATCCCTGGAAAACCATATTTCTACTTAAATACTGAAAGTATGGGCCTAGGGACTCCAAGGCTAGCATGGTGGACTCCATCCAAGTCCATCTGCCATGCAGTGACTATGCAGTTGGTCTGACATAGGCAGGATGGTCTGGGAAGGATCCTTTCCAGAAGGGTCTTGACATTGTTTGCTGCAAGGGCAGGTGATATTTAGAGAAAAGTTTGATCTTTGACCAACACCAGAGATGAGCTGTATTGAATTGTATCATTGCTCTACCTCAGACTCCAGCTGCTGCAGCCTGGACAGTTCAGGTTTGGTGTAAATACAGCCTTCAACCCATATGCACTGACTAAATCTCGAAAAAAGCCCATGCATCCCCAGTTGGAGACCTCATCCCCTCATCCAGGCCATAGCTATGGCTCCTACCATCTCTTAGATCGTGTGGACTCTTCCCAAGGCATTTATTTACTTCAGGGGTTGTTGGCAATGTATTGGCAAGGTATTGTTGCAGGCTGTTGGCAATGTATTCCCTGAGTCTCAGGCATACAGAGCAGTGTCCCACTGTTTTGCCCAGCTCTGCTTTTCCCTGCACACCTTTCCCCAGTACACAGGACCAAGCACCAGTTGCACAGAACACACATGCCACACAATTCGTAGTGTTTCTGCTCTCCAGTGAAATATTTCTGCAAGTAAACAAAGAAAGAAGAACTGATCTTAAAAAAAAAAAGAAAAAATCCACGCAAAGGGGACAAAAGAGAGGGAAAATTTTTTTCTTACAGTCTGTGGTGATTTCGTAGGGGGAGTTGAGTCGTGCATCTCCACACGGTGAAGTGCTCACGTAGAGATGGAACAAGATGTTCTCCCTCAGCCTGTAGCCTCCCTCTTTTAATCGCACGAAGATTGATCGCTCCCAGTCTTCTCGCCGTTTGCTATGATCACAAAAGAGGTTCCAGGTAATTTGTTACAAGCCAAATCAGAAACATTTCTGCTCATTCTCTCTCTCTGGTTTTCTCCCTCTGTTTGTTTGTTTTTATTAGCACCTGGCATCATATATTTTGCCTAGTGACAAGAAGAGAAAAACAATAAGCTTCCCCAAGTGAAGAAATATGTGAAGGGGGTCAAAACTGTCAAAGTGCTTTTGGCTTGCTTACCTAGAATATATTCTAATGATAAAATGTGTGGATTTTTGAAGGGTAACTCTCCTTCCTCACATGCAGGGATGCATAAACACATTGATTTTAAAGAGGTTTTAGTGCATGAAGAAAGGAAAAGTTCTCTTAGGCGCTCATATGAACAAATCAGCTCTGCTTATCACAGTGCTGGGGCACATGTTTGAATCGCATTAACACCACTGCAACTGAGATGTGTGTTTATATGCTCCACTGAAAAGGGCTTCTAATGAAGCACCCAGTTTTTATGACCCTGCCAAACTATCCCTGCTCCCCAGGTGCCACTTTTCTTCCCCATTCAACCAGAGTCATCTACGAGTGTTCCATCTAAGCCTGCAGTGTCCTCTTGGTCACTTGGCATTTTTAGAAATCAGAAGACATACTGAAAAGTGGAGACAAAACTTGTGTGAGCTTTTCTCAGCTGAGTTGAAAGAGATACTTATTAAGATGAAGCTTTTCTCTTTGCAGT